TACTTACTGTGGCCAATGGCAGGGCTGTATACGGCACTCCACACACTGTTGCAAACTTGGCTCCAGACTTTTTTGTGGTCTCCCATAGAAGTTCTGCCACTTCATTCTGATGGAGGGATGAAATCAATCTGATGTCAACTTTATGTTCTAGACATTGATAACAACTGCACTTAGCTGATACATCATGCTAAATGGGACCATTGACACCTAAATGTCACTCAATCAAACGTGAACCATCAACCTAATATATTAATATAGATAACTGCCATCACTTGCCTAAACTAACCTAACTGGTCACAGCTTTTATAGATACTCGGGAACCTGCAAAATCCTGAAGATACATTTAGAAGTTTTTGTTGTTTTTATTCATATGTAGTAGGTTGGGGTTGATGAAGTTGAATTTCTGTCCAATTTAAACATTATAAAGTTATTTTTTCAAGCTTTGTTAGACCAGACTGCTTGTAATACAGACATAAGATAGCAAACCACCTGTGGTCAATTATTGCCAATAAACATACAAATACACACCGCACACGTGTGAGAGTGTTGGGGGAGGGGGGCGTGAGAGAGAGCGAGCCGTACCCACCATGATGACCGGATAGCTCACGATCACGCGCAGATCGAAGTAGATCGGGGACTGGATCCCGCTCTTCAGCGTGAAGTCGCCAAACTTCACCGCCTCGATCGCGAAAAGGTCCAAAATCAACTGCTCGACTCGGTCAGACATCTTTCTTTCGATTTTTGGTTCCCCGCCAAAAATTTCTGACCTTTGACCTGAACCCGGTCAACGCAGATTTATTTTTTAATCTAAACATTTACATACATCATATAAAGCTGTTCATTTGTAATACAGTGAAACATATAATAATCTTTTAATTCTTTTCTGTTGTTATTTTATCCAGAAAGAAAATAAAACTATATTTTGGTGCGTGACCTTTGACTGATTGCCGCAAGGGATGCTGGTCTGTGGGTGAGGAAGTGTTTCGTAAAGAAACCGGTCCGAAATAAGGGATAAAACTTGTCCGATCGTCCCTCGTATTTTACAGGTATTGTACGAAGTATTCAGTTTTCTATGTTCTCCCCGTTTTAAGCATAGGATAGCGGGAACAGTTAGACATGGGCAGTTAGACATGCGGATACAGAAGTGTCGTTTACTCCAGTGTAAAATTTAGGGATTTCTCAATTTTATTTTCATGAAAACGGGGATATCATCGTTGAACCTGTTACTAGTGTTCTTGACCTCCTGAGGGAATGAAGGCTTGTACTTGGCTCATATTGTCTGTTTGTTTGTGTGTCCGTCTGTGTGTGTGTGTCTGTATGTGTGTTGTTTGTTTGTGTGTGTCAGTACGTTTGTGTGTGTGTGTGTGTCTCAGTGTGTGTGGTGTGTGTGTCAGTATGTGTGTGTGTGTATGTGTGTGTGTCTGTGTGTGTGTGTGTGTGTGTGTCTGTCTGTGTGTGTGTGCAAATAATACATATAATAATTGCATAATACACAACCTCACCAAGCAAAGGTTATTCCTGTTTTTGAGTAGGTCATGATTTTTGTCATGTAGATACATTATCATTTCATCAAATGCTAACTATGCAAATCAGGACCTAACTTGCATAATCAATTTATTGATTGTTTATCGCTGTTGTTGCCAGGCCCACCATGGTGGTACCGAACCCCCCTCCCACCCCGGAACAGACAGAGCCCACGGTGCAGCAGATTAAGGCTGACGTCGTGTTCGTCATCGAGGGAACGGCCAACCTGGGAGCCTACTTCAACAACCTTAAGACTTCTTACATCATTCCTACTGTCGAGTAAGTCTCCTTCATTACTCTCACCCTTCTTAAACAACTTCAAGACTTCTTACATCATTCCTACTGTCGAGTAAGTCTCCTTAAAACTTCTTTCATTCCTACTGTCGAGTAAGTATCCTTAATTACTCTAACCCTTAAGCTTCTTTAACAACCTCAAGACGTCTTACATCATTCCTACTGTCGAGTAAGTATCCTTAATTACTCTAACCCTTAAGCTTCTTTAACAACCTCAAGACGTCTTACATCATTCCTACTGTGAGAGTGAATACTTCCTCTAGTAGAGAGTGGTCCCAACTTTAGCTTGTGTTCTGCTGAGCTACATGTACACACAATATAATGATATCATATGTTTGTACCCCTCCTGTTGTGATGCCATCAGTTTATGGGTGTTTATCTCTCCCTTTAGGTATTTCAACGGAGGCCCTGTGGCAGAGACAGATTTTGGAGGGGATGTAAGTTGTTTTATCTTTGTTACAAAACATAACAACATTAGGCCACACCAATTTGTTTCTGGAACATTTTTGGTAAAAATAATCTGTGCGTAGGGTGTTCTTTTCTTTTCTCTTTCATTTTGAGGCAGCCGCCTTCCACTAGCTGAAGATTCTGCTGCCTTCTTGTAGCTAATACAAGATGGGGTTTGCCAAGCCTCCATCCAGGATAGTTGTGTAAAGTCCCTTTCCCAAGGGCACACGATCGGTGACATGGCAAGATTCAAACCCGGAACCTCTTGGTTCCGAGTTGAATGCTCTGTTACGCCACACGATCTCAAATTGGTGTTTGGCTTTACGATATATGATTGTGTTTAGAGTTAAAACCAGTCATTCAGGTCTTCCTCAGTAGACTGACCCAGTGAGGCTTGTCACGTGGCTTCTTTGAAGTGTGATGTCAACACTTGTCTACTGAGGAAGACCAGAGTGACTTGTCTCTAGGTGAGAGAACTTTTTGTGTTGGAAGTTTTAACTCTAAACATGTAACTACCAACACAGATGAACTTCCACATGGTTGTATTCTGTATCCTCCCAGTACGGAGGTGCGCTGTACGGCTTGATCGTGTTCCAGACGGCAGACTGTGCCCCCGAGCCGGCGACTCTCTGTATCGCCCCCACCAGCAGTGCACACGTCTTCCTCACATGGCTCGACAGGATCAAGTAAGACAACTTAAGTTATACCAGCTATACAGATACTAGGTAAGAAGTGGTGTAATGTAGCCAGCTGCTGCTGCACCACATGCCTGCGAAGCTGGTTATGACTCTTTGTATTGCCCCCACCAGCAGTGCTCACGTCTTCCTCACATGGCTGGACAGGATCAAGTAAGATAACTCAGTTATAATACATGTACCGGCTATACAGCTATGAGCCAGCAACTCTCTGTATTGCTCCCACCAGCAGTGCACATGTCTTCCTCACATGGCTCGACAGGATCAAGTAAGAAACTGAGTTATAATACAAGTCATGTACCGGCTATACAGATACAGTTATAATACAATGTCAGCTGCTGCCATGCCGCATGCCTGTGAAGCTGGTTACGCCGAAGGGCGGTTATACCGGCTATACAGATACAGAAGCTGGTGTGTTACACCAAAGGGAGAAAGAAAAATGTACAATGTATTTATTGGGTGTTGGACTGTTTACAGGTTTATTTATTTGTTTGTTTGTTTCCAGGTTTGTAGGAGGGGCTGGCCACTCCTGCAGCCACATTGCTGAAGGTCTCAGCTCCGCACTTCAACTGTTTGACGATTTTCAGAAAGTTCGAGAACAAACGTGAGTGAAGCAGCATTCGCTTTATTTAAGTTGCAAATAGTGTTTTCTCATATAAAGACTGAAGTGATTAGAAATCTGTACTGTATTTGTGCATCTTGTTTTCTTCTCAGCTTAGCAAATGTCCTGCGTCAAAGTCAGTTCTTCATCTACACAGTGTCCTGTGCCATCCTAGAGTCAGAAAGCACAACTGCACCATGTGACAGTGATACAAGAGCACTGAACCAGTTGTGATGCACTCAGTAAATTCAGTCAGTAAATTCTCTGCTCCACCATTCCACCTTCAGGCCCAGCCTGCAGAAGCAGTGCATTCTGGTCTGCAACTCGCCCCCCTTCCTGATGCCGTCCATCGAGAGCATCGCCTACAGCGGGCAGACGGCCGAGCAGCTAGCAGGCATCATGGGAGAGGTCAGTACGGGGTCAGGGGTCAGGTCACTGGGTCAGAGGAGGTCAAAGGTTAGGTATGGCCTACAGCGGGCAGACGGCCGAGCAGCTAGCAGGCATCATGGGAGAGGTCAGTACAGGGTCAGGTCAAAGGTTAGATATGGCCTACAGCGGGCAGACGGCCGAGCAGCTCGCAGGCATCATGGGAGAGGTCAGTACGGGGTCAGGGGAGAGGTCAGTACAGGGTCAGGGGTCATGGGAGAGGTCAGTACAGGGTCAGGGGACAGGTCAAAGGTTAGATATGGCCTACAGTCGGTCTCACAATCACATAGTTGTTTTCTTGGTGTCACATTGCTGTTTCCTCGGTCTCACACCGCCGTTCTGTGCCCATGATGTACAGAGAGGGATTGACTTCTCTCTATTGTTGGGGGTGAGTACTCTAGTACTACTACTAGTATCATATAATGTAGTGGTCTCACACTGCTGTAAGTTTGTCTCACACCGCTGTTTTCTGTGCCCATGCTGTACAGAGAGGGATTGACTTCTCCATCATGTCCCCCCGGAAACTGCCTGTGCTGCAGAGGCTGTATGAGAAGGGGCTGGGCAGCAGCCAGGACCAGTCTCACAAGGACTACACCACAGACCCAAGACATCTCATCCTGCTGAAAGGCTTCGAGCTTAAAGGTCAGAAATCTTTCAGTCTGACTCTGTGTGTGTGTTTGTGGTGTGTGTGTAGGTGTGTGTGTGTCTATGTGTGTGTGTGTGTGTGTGTGTGTGTGTGTGTGTGTGTGTGTGTCTATGTGTGTGGGGGGTACCTGTGTGTGTGTGTGTGCATACCTGTGTGTGTGTGTGAGTGTGTGTGTGTGCGTGTGCGTACCTGTGTGTGTGTGTGTGCGTACCTGTGCGTGTGTGTGTGTGTGTGTGTGTGTGTGTGTGTGTGTGTTCATCTTTGTGTCGTGTGTGTGTGCGTATGTAAGTGAGTATATTTTTGTGTATTTACATAACCATGTTCCCTCCCTCACAGAAAGAGTAGCAAACGTGGAAGGGAAGGACTCCAGCATGAAGCTGACCTCTGACCTCGACCCCAAGTCTCTCCATGGCAACAAGTCCTCAGCCCCCACCTCAAACCCTGGTGCACCTGGAGCAAAGGCTGCTGGGAGTCCTGCCAGGAGCACAGGTACAAGGTTCATTAGGCCGGCTTCTTTGAACAAGCCATGCGAAATTTGTAAAATCTAATCACAGATCAAGAGAAAAAACAGTAATCTAATAATAACCATTGTCATTGAGTCCAAAATATGGGATAGTTTGCCTTTTTTTTCTATGTTTGATTGTCTGTATATTATATTTTTCTTTATTTTTCCTAAAAAAAAGTGTTTAAAGAAACACAGTCCTGTTTAAATTTCTGAACCTGACATCTTTCTCACATTAGGTTGGAGTTCTATTTTTACGTTTTCAACTGATTTTGGACAGTTTTAACTATAGCTCAGTCAGTTTTCTGTACACATCAGTGAAGGTTAGACTTTCAGGTAATAAGATACACCAAAAATAGTTACTGAAGTAAATGGATATGTTTTTGGAAATGGTCAGACGTTTCATGATCAGGTAGCATCCACTAGCTTTCGTCACTGACACTGGAGAGTTGTCAGAAAAGCAGGTTTATAAGCACGAGGTATTGACTGAAATGCAAATAAGTGAAGACAATTTTTTTTCTGTTTAAAGTTAAAACTTTTGGTCCAATACAAAAAAGTTCTGTCACCTACAGCTTACGACCAGTCACTCTGGTCTTCCTCAGTAGACTGACCCGGTGAAGCTTGTTACGTGGCTTCTTTGAAGTGTGATGTCAACACTGCGTCAAAAGTTGGACCAAAAGTTTTAACTTTAAACATGTAACTACCAACACACACACAGATGAACTTTCATGATAATTTTTTTTTCTGTACAGTTCCCACAGGTTGCACTGTCACCAGCAGCCCACAATACAGTAGTCAGTACAGTCAGTATTACCCACATGTAGTCCAAAATATGGGATAGTTTGGCTTTTATTTGCCTAGTCAATGTTAAATTGTCTGTACAATAATTTTTTTTCCTCAGTTCCCACAGGTTCCACTGTGACGAGCAGCCCACAAAGCAACAAGCCGCGGGCCAGTCCCGGGGTCAACCTGGGGTCACCGCCCAACAAGCCACCCTCCAGCTCCGCAGCTACATCACAACAACCCTCACAGCAACAACCACTACAGCAGCCATTACAGCAGCCGTTACAACAACCACTACAGCAGCTACAGACTCAGGCTACAGCTAGACAAGAACAGTACGGGCAACAACCGGTCGTACGGCCACAAACACAACAGGTTAGCCTATAGGAGCACTCAGGTCCAGAGGTGTTATAATTCCTCACAGTATAAACTGTTGTGATTGAATCTGAGATATGCTCTGGATAGAAAAATAATTACTAATTAATCAATTAATTGATAAACAAAGCTAATTACTTTTGTTTACCTTCACAGAGGGAAGAAATATTTTTCTATCCAGAGCATATCTCAGACCTCGCTCTTTTTCTGCTTCTAGTTTTATGCAGTGTAAACTTTGTTGTGATTAAATACTCGATACCCCCATGTTGAGTAATTTCTGCCTGTTGGCCTATATAGCAAGTGGCAGGACAGAGCTTGAGGGGCTGGTCAAATGCTACAATGTGTATGTGAAGTAACTTCTGCCTGTTCGCCCAGGTGCGTCCCCAGGTGTCGTCAGGGCTGCTGAGACCGTCTGCTCCAGTTGCCACGACAACAACACCTCTGTCTCACCTGCCGACACCTCAGCAGGTAAATCATAAGTCAATCATGTTTGAAATTAAAACTTTTTGGTCCAACACAAAAAGCTCTCTCACCCAGAGCTTTTGAACCAGTCTACCAGATACCCTTGACTCAGTGTTGACGTCACACTTCAGAGAAGCCACGTGACAAGTCTCACTGGGACGGTCTACTGAGGAAGACCAGAGTGATTGGTCGAAAGCTCTAGGTGAGAGAACTTTTTTGTGTTAGATCAAAAGTTTTAACTCTAAACATCATGTTTCCCTCCAGGCCCCCACCCCTCCCCCTGTAAGCAAGCCCGGAACTGCAGGCCCCCCGAAGGCTCACATCATGTTGTTCTTGTTCTCCAGGCCCCCACCCCTCCCCCTGTCAGCAAGCCTGGAACCGCAGGCCCCCCAAAGGGCGCCCAGCAGATAGCAGCTCACATCATGAAGGAGGCCATCGCCCGGGCGCGCCAGCCTTCTCCCAACGTCACTGTGCAACCATGGAGACAGAACGAGCCAAGATCTGTGTCAGGTGATGATGATGATGACTTTATTCGCAAAAGCAGATGTACATCGTTGAGTCTTAAGATGAAGTATGACATGCTAGCTTACGGAAGCAAAATCAGTTTAACCCTAAGTTGTACAAATTCTGAGGAGGCTACAAAGAAAACCCATGCTGTTTGTAGATCTGCCTGTAAGTTTCTAATCTGTGACTGTTTCAGGAGGACCTCCCAGGATGCCTGGTGTGTCTCCGACTCCCAACAAACAACAGCAGCAACAACCAGGAACCTGGCAAGGCGGGCCTCCCAAACCTACACAGGTAAGGAGAGGCATTGCACATTGTTGTAACTTCCAGGACATAAGTACTAGTATTGTTTTTGGTTGCCTTAACTGATTGCTTGTGTCAAGTCCACACTGGCACATGGGGAATTGAGTCATTCCAGGTTGATTTTCCCTGAAGTGGTGGTACAGTTCAGTTCCAAAACATTCCTAAACACCCAATACAATCTTCAAGTCTGAAATCTACGAATTCCTGTTAGAACCTTGCTATTGACTTATGTAACTGAACTTGTTTTTAAACTTTCATTTTTTCGTTGCTAATCTTAGTGTGGTTTTGACCATATTCCTTCTTCTTGTTCAAGCTACCTACGTCAACCAGTATGACCCAATCCATGGCTGGCCCCACCAGTTTGACCCAGTCTATGGCTGGTCCAACCAGTCTAAACCAGTCCATGGCTGGTCCCACAAGTATGACCCAATCCATGGCTGGACCTACTAGTCTAACCCAGTCCATTGCCGGCCCTACAAGTCTTACGCAGACGATGGGTGGCCCCACCAGTCTGGCTCAGTCCGGCCCCCTGCAGATCAGCACCATCTCGACCAGCCAGCCGCCCTCCATGAACACCGGTATGATACCGGGGATGACGCAGGCGCCGCCACGGATTCAGCAGCAGCAGCAGCCACCGCAGCAGTTTCCTGTGTCCCAACCTCAGGTACTGCAGCATCATCACCATGTAGTATCATGAAAGTTCATCTGTGTTGGTAGTTACGTGTTAAAACTTTTGGTCCAACACAAAAAAAAGTTCTCTCACCTGGAGCTTTCGACCAGTCGCTCTGGTCTTCCTCAGTAGACTGACCCAGTGAGGCTTGTCCCGTGGCTTCGTCTACCAGATACCTTTGACCCAGTGTTGACACTTCAAAGAAGCCACGTGACAGGCCTCACTGGGTCAGTCTACTGAGGAAGACCAGAGTGAATGGTCAAAAGCTGTAGGTGAGGGAACCTTTTTTTGTGTTGGACCAAAAGTTTTAACTCTAAACATCACCATCCTTATAAGGATCACCTGCATCAAGTGAATACACCTGGATAGAGTAAACAGTGCTTTGTTGATGTTGATGTTCCATATTGTAAACTTTGCGATGTAAACAAGTGTTCGTGTTTATTCCAGCCAATGCAAACAGGCGTACAGCAAGGCCCCCGAGCTGCCCCTGCCCCTGTGCAGATGCAGTCTCAACAGGCAGGAAACCAGCCAAGGAACAGGCCGATCTGGACGGGGGCCTTGGAATGGCAGGAAGTGCCGGTAACTTTGTTTGTTTCGCATAACCAGTAAACAGCCTTTAAATGTAACACACCAGTTTTGTACATGTTAGTACAATCTGCGCAAGACTGGGAAGGACCCCTACTCCTTTCGATAGTGTGGTGGGTTCTTTAACGTGCTTGGGGTGTGGCTTTTGCATAACTGGTAAACCGCCTTCAGGCATAGCACACCAGTTTTGTACAGTAAGTACAAGCTGCGCAAGACTGGACTGTAAGGTTTCACACTGGAAAGGACCCCTCCTCTTTTCGATAAGTGTGGTGGGTTCTTTAACGTGCGTGGGGTGTGGCTCTCCGTCCATTTAGTGTCCTATCTGAGGGACGTCCCTAACCGAAGCTACATGTAGGTACTCATTTCTACCTGAGTTAAGTGAGGAAAGTTGTGTAAAGTGCCTTTCCCAGGGCACAAGATCGGTGGCATGGGTAGGATTCAAACCCAGGACCTTTTGGTTCTAATCCACACGACTCTCCTCCTGGCTGACATTCGATAGCTCAGCGTTACCTCTTTTCTCAGTAACTTTTAGTGAGTTAACCTTCGACCTCTTGTTCCATCCTCAGCCAAAGAACAGTCCAAACGACCTTCCCCAGAAGGTCAACCGGTCGCTGGCGTGTCAGGTGTCCATCCAGCCAGGAGAGACTCTGTAAGTACCTCACCGCCCAGTTGACTCTGTAATCCTAGGCACGGTCTATGTTTCTGGACATTCTACTTTGCCAAACAAACAGCAATCCCGTATCTATTTAAAAAAAAGTAGCATACCAACTTTGATCCCTTAGTTAGCACACCTGTTTGGTAATTGTTTTCAACTCATATATTATGGCGTTTATAAAACATTGTACACTACATGAAATTGCCTGTAAATTTTACAGTAAATCACTCAATGCGGTAATGGCCAATTTTCACAGTCTGCAAAAAATGTACATTTTCGCGGAACTTTAAATTCACAGAATAAAGGAAGTCCGCAAATAATTTGTACATGGTAGTGATAAATTTGAGGTACAAAGGTGACCGCAAAAGCTGCAAATCTTAATGTACAGCAAATACAAAGTGATTTACAGTACCTGTGACATTGAATACAAAGCTTTGCATAGCCACGCCACAACAAGATTCAGACTGAAAGCCCCAGTTGTATTGTTAGGCAAGCGGACAAGTGGCCGAGCAAGCTGATCATGCAGCTGATCCCTCAGCAGCTGCTGGTGTCGCTGGGCTCGCTCTTCCGTAACTCTCGCACCGTCGGGTTTCACTTCTCCAACAACGACCAGGACGCTCTACGGGCGCTCTACCGCGTCATGGCCGGCGGATTCGTAAGTAGCTTTGCTTCTCAAGTTGCTCTTTCGTAGTCCAGTGGCTGGCTGTGTGTGAGTGTATCTGTGTGTGTGTTTGTGTGTGTGTGTATCTGTGTGTGTGTGTGCAACAACCAGGACGCGCTACGGGCGCTCTACTGCGTCATGGCAGGCGGATTCGTAAGTAGCTTCTCGAGTACGCGTGCGCACGCGCGTGTGTGTGTGTGTGGTGTGTGCCTGTGTGTGGTGTGTGTGTGAGTGTTGGAGAAGTGACCCAGTATGTATTTTTGTTTACAGGCCGGATGTGTGCATTTCCCACACGTGACCCAGTGTGTGTGTGTGTGTGTGTGTGTGTGTGGTGTGTGTGTTGGAGAAGTGACCCGGTGTGTGTGTGTTTTGCAGGCTGGATGTGTGCATTTCCCCCACGTGACCCAGTGTGACGTCCGGGTGCTGATGCTGCTCTACAGCGCCAAGAAGAGAGCCTTCATGGGGCTGATCCCCCACGACCAGACCAGCTTCGTTAATGGCATTCGCATGGTCATCACCAACCACAAGAAGGCACAGCAGCAGAAGGCATTACAAAGGGTGAGCATACTACTACTACTACTACTCTATTACTACTACTACTACAACTACTACTACTACTGCCTACAGAACACACAGCAAACACACAGCAGCAGAAGGCATTACAAAGGGTGAGCATACTACTACTACTACTACTCTATTACTACTACTACTACAACTACTACTACTACTACTGCCTACAGAACACACAGCAGCTGAAGGCATTACAAAGGGTGAGCATAGTACAGTAACTATTACTACTACTACTACTTCTACTTCTACTACTACTACTACTGCTACTACTGCTACTACTACTACAGCTACTACATAGTTTACATGGCTACTACTACTGCTACTACTAGACTACTAGACTACTACTACTATAACATTTACTAGTAGTACTACTGCTACAACTACTATGGGCTACTGCTACTACTACTGCTACTACTACTGCTACTACTACTACTACTACTACTACTACTACTACTACTACTACTTACTGTCTACTACTACTGTGGAGTTCAGTGGTGCAGGGAATTGTCCTGACCACCAGGGTGTCAAAAGAGGATTATGAACATGATTGAGCGTAAATAATCTAGCGGGTTCTATACTCACCATGCCCCGATGCTGTGCCCTTGGGAAAGGCACTTTACACGACTTCCCCACCTATACGGTGGAGTGACGCCCACCGAACTTCTTAGGCTAATCTGTCTGAATGGGTGCCCAAAACACACACTACAGATTTGGTGCCCCAATGTGTCAACATCTGCACATTTGCCACCAAGAGCCGTAAATTTATATATTCTTATCAGATGCAGCAGCAGCAGCAGCAACAGCAGCAGCAGCAGCAGATGGGAGGGGGGCTGGGGGTCGTGCAGCAGCCAAACACACAACAGATGCCGTTTCCCCAGCAACCACAAACACAACAACAACAACAAGCACCGTCATCTGCACAGCAACAGGTCAGTTACCGGAAATTAACGTTTTTACCTGACGTGGCAATCAGCCGTTCTAACTTAAGTATACTTAAGTTTGTGAACTGCCAGGCGTTGTGGTATTTTAACACTAGAAAGGCAACATCTGCAAAGCAAATGCATAATGTTTACCTTCGCATATGGTCTGCTCTCACTGTTAATTCTTACTCAAACACATTGAGTCTAAATCCCTCCTGCTATAAAATTGCAACATGGTGTAACCCAACACCAGTTACCATGGTGACAGACATTTGGTTCAGGTCATTTACCTTATTTGTTTGCAGAAGAAGAGGAAGAAAAAAACAGAGCTAAACATGTGTTTTCCTTCTGCGAAGGGTAACATAATAAGCACTGTTCAGAGGGGTCCTCAAAACTGTTTTTGTTTACAGTATGGAAACCATGGCAACCTAGGAGGTGGGGGAAACATGATGAGCAGCCAATCAGTGGTCAGCACTTCATCGAGCAACATGAACCAGGTGAGCTTAAGCCAATCAGCTGTCAGATGGACAATACATCAGCCAATCAGCTAACACTGTCACCAGCCAATCAGCTAACACTGTCACCAGCCAATCAGCTAACACTGTCACCAGCCAATCAGCTAACACTCTCCACAGCCAATCAGCAACAGTATTTGGTGTACACGTCTGTGTGTGTCTGTGTGTGTGTGTGTGTGTGTGTGTGTGTGTGTGTGTGCGTGCGTGCGTACACGCATGTGTGCGTGCATGTGCGTGTGTGCGACAGGTATTTTTGCTATACAATATACTGGTCTGCAATACTGACCACACAGTAGGATCTGGCCCGTGCTTAGATCACACAGTAGGTCTGTCGCAGAAGGAATCTTGTCTACGGCCTGTGCTTTGATCACACTGTAGTGAGTAGATCTGTACCAGAAGGGATCTGGTAAAGCTTTCTTCATCAGCTTCCATGGTGATGACACATGCTTTTTTTTGAGCTGCCATAATCATGAGGACTGCTTTTCTCCAGTTTCCATAGTTACCACTGCTGCTCTGTCTGGTCAGTTTCTATAGTTGTGACTGTTGCTCTGTGTCTGTCCAGTTTCCACAGTTGTGCTTTCAGGTCAGTTTCCATTGTTAGTGGCTGTTCTGTCTCTTCAGTTCCCATAGTAGTTACAAGTTCTGTTCTGTCTCTTCAGTTTGTGATGACTGGTATATATTCTGTCTCTCCAGCTCCATAGTGATGACTCCAGGTTGTTCTCAGTCTCTTGAGTTCCATGGCGATAACTGCTGTTGTTCTGTCTGCAGTTACCATGGTGATGTTGAGTGTTTTTCTCTAGTTTCCATGGTTAAAACTAGGGTTCGTTTTCCAGTTTCCATGGTGATGACTGGTGTTCTGTCCCTCCAGTTTCCATGGCAATAACTGCTGGTGTTCTGTCTGCAGTTACCACGGTGATGTCCAGTGTTTTTTCTCCTGTTTCTATGGCTATAAATTTTTTCTAAGTTCTTTTTCCAGTTTCCATGGCAATGACTGGCATTCTGTCTCTCCAGTTTCCATGGTGATGACTGGTGTTCTGTCCCCAGTTTCCATGGTGATGACTGGTGTTCTGTCTCTCCAGTTTCCATGGTGATGACTGGTGTTCTGTCTGTTCAGTTTCCATGGCACTGACTGCTGGTGTTCTGTTTGCACTTACCATGGTGATGTCCAGTGTTTTTTTCTCCTGTTTCTATGGCTATAACTCAGGTTCTTTTTTCAGTTCCCATGGCAATGACTGGTGTTCTGTCTCTCCAGTTTCCATGGTGATGACTGGTGTTCTGTCTCCCCAGTTTCCATAGTGATGAGTGGTGTTGTTTTTCCCCAGGTGCCCAGTTCTGTCCACCCCGTAGCCCCCCACGCGCCTGTGGCCACTCTAGACAAGGAACGGCACCAGAACCTGGTGAGTCCACATCACCTTGTCTTTGCAGCTGCCTCCTTGCCAGTGATGATGTACATTGTAGCCCAGTCACTATGGACATTTCTTCACTTCTGTAGTGCCCTATGGCAACAAGGGAGCCACACTTCTGCACTTGTGTATTGCTTGGCTGTAGCCATAATGGCTCTACGTTTCTACACTTTTATATAGCCCTGCCCTATGAGCCCACATTTTTGCACTTCTCTAGTGCCATACTGTAGCACAATGGACCTACATTTCTGCACATCTATTGTGCTATTGATATCCTCCACATTTCTGCACTTCTTTGGTGTCCTATGGACCCAACATTGCTGCACTTCTCTAGTGGCATGCTATAGCCCTATGGACCCACCGACATGCTGGCCATGGAGAACTGCTTACCTATGCGCTGTGGAGGACTGCTTGTGATGTATCATTTTACTGGACCTTCTTGTGCCTCTACCTTACACTGTGGAATCGTATTGGGCAACATGTCATGCAACTTTATGGGGTGAATCTACCTGTACCTGCAATGTTCTTTTAAATTGTGGATTTGGTTACCTGGTTACCTAGAAATTTGGTGTGTGTTCAGGTCTTGACCTACCAAAAAAATGATTAGGTTGCGGATCCCCTGGCAGCTTTCCTTGGAACTGCAGCAGATGGTTGCTGATTTTCCTTGCTGTCCTCCGCAGCTTAACATGTATCTAGTTTTGCCACATGTTTTCAGTACCTGCTCACCCCGTTGTGTTTCCCTTCTGCAGCTGAAGATCCAGCAGCTTCAGCAGACGTTAGAAATGGCGCAGAAGTAGCAGCAATTATGTGATTCTCCTTGGTGTGTCTTTCCCCTGCAGCTGAACATGTATCTAGTTTTGCCACCATGCCACCAGTACCTGCTCATCCTGCTGTGTTATTGTGTTTTCCCCCGGCAGTTGAAGATCCAGCAGCTTCAGCAGACGTTAGAAATGGCGCAGAAGAAGCAGCAATGATGCGATTCTCCTTGCTGTGTCTTTCCCCTGCAGCTGAACATGTATCTAGTTTTGCCACATGTTTTCAGTACCTGCTCACCCTGCTGTGTTTTCCCTCTGCAGTTGAAGATCCAGCAGCTTCAGCAGACGTTAGAAATGGTGCAGAAGTAGCAGCAACCTGCAGCTTAAGTTTTGTGATGTGATTTCCCCCCTGCAGCTGAAGAATCTGATGTCAGAACAATATTCTCCTTGCTGTGTCTTTCCCCTGCAGCTGAACGTGTACCCGCTCACCCTGCTGTGTTTTCCTCCTGCAGCTGAAGATCCAGCAGCTGCAGCAGATGTTAGAAATGGCGCAGAAGTAGCAGCAATGATGCGATTCTCCTTGCTGTGTCTTCCCCTGCAGATGAATGTGTATCTAGTTTTGCCACGTTTTCAGTACCTGCTCACCTTGCTGTGTTATTGTGTTTTCCCCCGGCAGTTGAAGATCCAGCAGCTTCAGCAGACGTTAGAAATGGCGCAGAAGAAGCGTCAGCAGCTGAACCAGCAGCAGCAGCTCATGGAGCAGCAGCAGCTGCAGCAGCAGAGGTTACAGCAGCAGCAGACCAACCAGCAGCTCAGGAACCTGCTGCTCAACCAGCAACAGGTAACAAAAAATGATGTTATGTTCCTTTTTTTTACAACAATTGTCATGAAGCAGCAATAGACATTTAGTCAGCAGGCTGGGTGGTTCTGATGGTCTTTGTCTTTCATTTACCTCAGCAGCAGATGTCTCAACAGATATGCACATGGTTAGATGCACCATGGTTGATGCTGATGGTTGCTGATGGTTTTCTGTCTCTTGCAGCAACAGCAGATTCACAAACCAAACCTAGGCAGTCAGTGGGTGGGCCAGCAGCAGCAGCAGTTGCAGATGCACAATCATGGGCTAGGTGCTGATGATTGTTGATAGGTCCTTATGTTTGCCTTGCCCCTACAACAGCAGCAGATCCACATGCACATGGGTTAGATGTTGATGTTGATGGTTGATGCTGATGATTGTTGTCTTACCCATACAAAAGCAGCAGATTTTCCAGCAGATGTCGCAGTAGATCCACATGCACATGGGTTAGATGCTGATGCTTGATGCTGATGCTTGATGCTGATGATTGTTGTCTGTCCCTTACAGCTGCAGTACATGGGTTAGGTGCTGATAGTAGATGTAGATGGTTGCTGATGGTTGATACTGGTGATTATTGTCTGTCCCCTACAGCAGCAGCAGATGTCTCAGCAGATGTACATGAGTTAGGTACTGATGGTTGTTGATGGTTGATGTAGATGGTTGACTGATGGTTGATGCTGATTGTTGTCTGTCCCTTACAGCAGCAGCAGATGTCTCAGCAGATGCACAACCCAAATATGGGCAGCCAGTGGGCGGGGCAGCCACAGCAGCAGCAGCTCCATCCGCAGGGTCCCATGATGCAACAGCTTCCACCGCATCCTCCGCAGCCCCAACAGCCAATGGGAGGCCTTCAAACCAACCTCCTGGAGGACCCAAATCTTCACGACCTCCTCAACTGATGACATCCGGGGGCATAAAGAGACTATTTCTACACAACCCAGTCTTTTCTCATAGGAAATTCAAACTCTACTACTGGATAAATTACGGAGATAATATCCGGACGTTTTGAGTGACATCCACCACTCTTCTTCAGTGTCACTAATGAACTAACAGAACTTGATAAAGCATATCGAGTTCTGTTAGTATTATGAACGTATTGTTTACCTGTATGTCAAACTTCATCAACATAACCCAGCCTTTTATTTAGTCAACGTTTCAGTGACCGTCTGTCACCTTCCTCAGGGCAATTCTGACTGGTTCACATTGCACTGCAGCACAGGTGTCGCTGTTATACAAAATGTAGATGCATTCCTAAACGTACAATATTTACACACATACACATATGCGTGGTTACAGGGAACTGTACAATGCAGTCCCAAACGTAAAGAAGCAGCGACACCTGTGCTGCAGTGCAATGTGAACCAGTCAGAATTGCCCTGAGGAAGGTGACAGACGGTCACCGAAACGTCGGCTGAATAAAAGTCTTGGTTGTGTAAAAAGAGTCTCTTTATTCAGTGACTTACCAACATGATGAAACTATTCACAAAGGCATTTTATTCCTGCTGAATAATGTACAGTAAATTTCCAGGACTTCAGATTTAAACTGAAGCAGGAGAAACTAATGCATTATAATTTAGGGCTCGAAACACTTTTATTTGCATACCTGTGCTGGTGCAGGTAACATTGACAATATACATACCTGCAACAAACATGTTTTACCTGCACCGCTCAGAATTTAGTAAGAATGGTTTACACTAAAAGCCTTTCAGAAACCATTGCCATCATATCTTTAAATTTATACTTCTTAGGTGGTCGAAAAAGTGACTGGTGGTGCAATCATGTGAGGAAGTTGCTTATACAATTGTAGTAATCAATTGTACGATGTAATTCATTTGGATATTACCCTCTGATCATAGAGTACAGTTCCAAACATTCACACTCAATACAATCTCTCAGTAAGTCTGAATAAAGAATCTCCAAATTCTTAGGCTCTGGAAGTGGATTGTAGAAAGGTGGTTGGATTGATGTTGGGCTCTGTGAAGGTTTCAGCACATAGCCGTTATTTTCAAAGGATATTACAAAAACACTGTCCAAATGAACTTCACTTTTGTACAGCTTGCGTAATAAAAATGGCCACTTCGAGGATGAGTGCCTTTCTGGTCTGTTCATTGCAAAGACAAGTCCTTGATCATTGTAGAGTTGACTATTCAATCTTCTACAATTTATCCAAATTTCTCTAAACTTACAGACAAAGAAAAACTATCAAAAAAACTTCCCAAAACCCACAAATTTTGGAAAAGGTGGGACATTACGTCTTCCAAGAGAAGTCAACCCCTTCAGATATAGTTTTAGACTGAACTGATGATGGCGACTATTGGTTATTTACTATAAGTAGTGAGGTAAGGATTGGCGATCAACTATTGGATGTTAATAATAATGTCTGTAGTGACACAAGGAGCTATTTCTTATTGGCGATCAACTATTGGTTACTGATGAAGAGACAAAGACACGGCCAGCTCAGTTTATATCTTTATTCTCCTGACAAGACTCCAGTCTGGGAAATGATTGAAACTCAGCTTTAACTTAACTTTGTCGCACGGCGTCATGGCCGATTGTTCATCTCTATGGTACAAATAAATAAGGACTTACATACATAAATAGGGACTCTTACATTCATAACGTCTATGTCAAACACACATAATCGGTTCTTATGTACAAGTGCACGGTGTGGAAACCGCTTGTTGTTGTGCGACGGACGCAATAGCTTTACAGCGCCACCCAGCGAAACGCCGTGGAATCGCAATAAATAATTCTGTACATTCTGATTGTCAAAATATCTGTACATTTTCTCTCCGTCTTCTAGCAACGACTTTGGATCCTGATTGCACTCAAAAAGTTCAACTTTCGACTTAGGTTACTTAGCCCTATCTGTCACGTGATTTTCTGCCAATGGCAATGTCCGGTTTGTCATGTGATAATCACGTGCCTGTGCCTAGTTCTTCACGTGACGTTCACGTGTCAGCAGCGTGGCGTTGCCCCGGACAGTGCTGCTTGTGGCAGACGAACTTGCAGGTGATCATCACGTGTCTGTAGCTAGTTATTCACGTGTCGTTCACGTGTCAGCAGCGTGGCGTTGCCCCGTCAGTGCTGCTTGTGGCAGACGAACTTGCAGGTGACGCGGAACTTGAGGCAGTAGCGCCAGAACGGCCCCTCGTCCCACCGGCTGCAGTACCGGCGGCAGTCGCGAGTCTCCACGCAACGCGACGGGTTGCTAGGGGCAACCTCCGACTGGTCGTCTGCGGGAACAATAAGAGGGAGCTACGTTAGAAACATGTTCAACACGTACAGCATTGACTTTTATATGTTCCATTTATACTATATCAAAAATAGTCAAATAGTATACTGTTATTTTCGATACATAGAACTTAAAAGCATTATAATTACTTTAGACGTTAGAATAGATATAGATATCTAGTAGAGTAGATATCAGCTAGATATGTAGTAACTCTGAAGAGCCTAAAGCCATACATCGTACCTGTTACAATATTGTTGTGCAATAAAGTTTGACTTTCACTTTGTTCTTATGCATGTTTGTAGCCAGGCTAAGGCCGGAGAAACAAGAAGAGCAGCAAAGTCACAAACAGACAAACAAACAAACAAACTCACCAGTAGCTGCAAAGGCAGACACGTCATAGTCCATCTCTCCGGAGAACTCGTCCTGCGCATGCGTCGCTGTTCCCTCGTTGACGTCATCCACGCTGACGATGACGTCATCGCCGTGCCTGATGACGTCGCGCCTGCTGTGTTTCCGGTCGTTGCGGCGGCGGGCGTGACGCGACTTCCGGTTCAGCGAGCGCTTCTTCTTCTCGGACCGCTGCTCTTTCAGGAAGGCCCGCAAGGCGTCGTCTTCGAACCTAAAGGGGACAACATCCGAGAGATCGTGGTTAGCAAGTAGAACTGGACAATGCGTCGCGACTCACGACATTACAAGGAGTTTGTTGGGATAAGAAATCTTCTTTTGTCATCCTTGACTGAGGTGACGCATGGTGCTTTTTAAAGTAGCTACTGGTGCATGTACATGTATGGGGCCAAGCACTGAGTCACCTCTACTCTTTTCGAGAAATGTGTTGGGTTCTATGACATGTAGAGGTATGACGCCAATAGAGTAATGAAACACTAGCCTCTACCAGGCTTCGGGAGGCGGCTGGAAAGAGTAGAAATCGGCCAAATAGAGAGATAACATGCCAAGGGTGCGGCAAACTGTTCCGAGTCTCCAACAGACCAACTCCCTCCGCATGCTATCTCTCTATTTGGCTCTCTTTCCAGCCGCCTCCCGAAGCCTGGTAGAGGCTAGTGAAAAAACAACAGTCGGTAGGTGGATGACTTGAGATTTTAAGGAGTAATATACTTACGGTGTGGGTGCGTGGAACTTGCGGGGCTTGTAGAGCGTCTGGAGCCGCGGGTGCTTCTTCATGAGCTCCATGTGCTCCATGACGCGCTTCAGGTCGAAGATGTAGACCAGCAGGGTTCCCGCGCACATCTGGTGGCCCTTCGGGTGGTTCGCCAGGTAAGCCATGCCCGTGGTGTAGTCATAGCCGCGGAAGTACTCCGCTGGGCCCTTTCCTTGCTGTGGGAACAACAATAACGGGACGTTAGTCAACAACATTAACAACAACGGGAGGTTAGTCAACGACAATGACAATGTCAATGAACTTTATTGCATTTTCATGTCCCATTGGGGCTAGATGCAGCAAGTTGGCTACGAGAAAGTATCTGTACCTATAATTTACATGCTTCTTCTCTCTTCTTGGAACATATTTGTAAGCCAATTTACAATATGTTTTTTTTTTCAATTAAAAGGACGTGGGTAAGTCAAATACCGCACTTGGGAAAAACTTATGATCCCAAAACTCCCCCATTGCAATAACTTTTTTTTTTATTCCGCCATATTCCCTGGTTTTAATTGTCACTACATGTACTACCAACTCTTCTTACAAGTGACGTCATTAGGAAGTACACAACAAACAAACAAACTCGCGAGGTCTCATGTATTTTCAAACGTCTTGTAGAATATTTTTCTTTCATTGTAAAAGTGGCCGCGAGAATATAAGTTGTACCTAACTTGAGTTCGCAGTCACTTAGTCCATATCTTTTCATGTGTAATCATCATTGTGTTTCTGAATAAAAAACAAACAAACAAACCTCGAACATGCCGATGAGTTCGCGCCACTGGCCGTCATCAGGGGTCAGCTCGTCCCGGCCCAGGTCAAGGGTCGTGGTGACGTAACACACCGGGAAGCTGAGCACGTGACACTTGCTGACGCGGAAGATGACGAAGTGCTGAAGGGAAAAAGAAAAAAGAAGAACAATAGTCATTATTTTGTCCGACAAATGTATCTGTATCTGTATAGCCAGTATATTAAATCGCCTTTCGGCGTAACACACCAGCTTCGCAGGCACGCGGCGCGGCGGCAGCTGGCTATATTACACCGATCGACTTGTTACACCTAACCCTTGAACAACTAACTCTAGACACTGTTTAAAGCTATCTAATGACTATGCCCCTACTGTACTTGGTGACAGTGAGTTCCAGAATGAATTCTTGAACACCTCAATCCTTGGTTGATAACTGGTACTTGAAGGCGTGGCTATTTCTTGTTCTCTTTAACCAAGTTGAAGATATCACTAATGCTAACATCACATTTTCAAACCGGGGCCCGGTCGGGCTGTTTGCCGGAACGAAAAATAAACAATTCATATCAACAATATGATAATATGATATCACAAATGATAAGTCTTTTCATTTTTGTGTTTTGTCGCCTTTTATATGTATACTTTTCGTTCCCACAAACTTAGTGCCCCTCTTTAGAATTTAGACAGTTTCTAGCGCCTTTTGTTTATAACAGCTCGTGACTGACAACCCCGGACGCCGCTCCGGTCAGACGGTTTTTCTGTGCAGCAGAAAGTTTTCCGAGAAGGCAGAGAGAAACGGGAGCTCGGGGCAGCTTCCGTAGCCAGCTTTATATAGAACTGGGGGTTTTGTAGTCTAACTCTTCGGCTGTTTTCTGATTAGCCCAGTTCTAAAAACGGGGGTAATTCAACCAGGCCGGCTATGCTGTCTATATGCAATCAGAAAATAGCACATAAAAGCTCCCAAAGACCCTGAAGACCCCCAAACCTCCAGTTTTTGGCATGTTACGGAGGCTAGGCTCGGGTCCGTTCCGCGCTTTTGTGCCGCCGGCATTCTTTCCGCCGGACTCCGGGTATCCACGCCGCGCCCGGCCCGACATGCACCGCGACCGCAACAACATCAAAAGCAGCCTAAAGGTCACCAATTACCACGGTTCGGTCCGGCCGACTGCGCGCCTTAAGGGCGGAAAAACGGACCGCTTTAAGGGCGGAAAAACTGAGCTTTAAGGGCGGAAAAACGGACCGCCTTAAGGGCGGAAAAACTGCGCGTCTCGCACGGAGGACTATTTAGAGCCTGATTAGGGAAGCGCCGTGCTGAGAGATTAAATTTACTAACAAAGTCACCATGAGACAAACTCAGATTAAGAAGCTACAATTTAGTAGTTGTTACAGCTTTCAGTGTTACAGTTTCCAATGGTTGGTACAGTTTTCAGTGGTGCAACAGTTCAAAGTAGTTGCTACAGTTTCCAGTGTTGCCAGTTTCCAACGATTGGCACAGTTTTCATGGTTGCTACAGTTCAAAGTAGTTGCAACAGTTTTCAGTATTATATTGCTAAGTTTTCAGTCACGAGTTGCTACAGATTTCAGTAGTTGTTACAGCTTTCAGTGTTACAGTTTCCAATGGTTGCTACAGTTTCCAGTGGCTGCAACAGTTCAAAGTAGTTGCAACAGTTTTCAGTATTATATTGCTAAGTTTTCAGTCACGAGTTGCTACAGTTTTCAGTTGTTGTTACAGTGTTGAAATCAAATGTTGCGTTATGAGTAGAGACGACCTCCGCGCGTCTGGGCCGGTACGGAAGAGGCTTTTGTTGTTTCCTAAACTCCTAAATCCGCGCGGCTTATTAGCTTACCCCGGTCTGAGCAGCCTTCGGGCGGGAAGCAGCGACAAGCCTAATGACGTCGGGTCTGCGCTCATCCGGAGTTTTGTTCTGTTCTGTCTGATGTTTCGAACTAAAGAAAACCTGAACACGGTACGGACTGACGGGTCAGGGCTGTCGCGGACATGAACTGTTTTTTTTTTACACGTACATAAACGAAATACGATTACCTGCCAACTGAATGTTTTAAGAAATGCGACATGCAAGTAAAGACCAAATTTTTGAGCTGCGATTACGGAGTGAAGGATCCGGTCTCCAACAACGTTTAGCCAAAGTAAGCGCTAGACATTCAACGTGAAATAGAGAAACACGTAGTATATAACATATATGCTAAACTGACAAAGGCAGTGATATGAAGAACATACCAGCCTCTGGCTAGGACCAGGCTACCCAAGACCCTCTTGCAGGCTAACTCCTCTGGTTTTGCTGTTTCTATTTGGCCAATTTCATCTATCATTCAAGAAACTTTGGGGAGCCTCGGAGAGGCTGCTAGGTACTCACATACTACATAGTACAGCAAAGCGGACAGTTTATGATACTTACGTTTTCTAGGTCGAACCAGGCATGCACGTTGACCATGGCCAGGTCGTTCCTGCGGAGCTCCCTCCGGGTGTACCGGCGGCCCTGCCCGTCCTCGTCCCCGTCGGCGTAGCGCTCCGTGCAGCGGTCGACGGTCGGGCGGGCTTGCCCCATCTCAAGCCCGAAGATGGGGTGCACGTCGGCCCGCGGGACGGGCCCGGGCCTGGACAGCTCCGCACCGGGGCGGGTCTTACTCTTCCTCGGGCGGGAGGACACCGGCACACCGAGGACGGCGAGAAGAAGGACCGCTACTGACGTCACGTTCATCTTCGTCTCAGGAAAATTACTAAAAAGTCAACAAGTAGTCCTTAAGGAGTCGCACAGCTACGTCGTTGGGAGAACACGTTGCAGGTGATCTTGCAGGAAGCTTAAGAACGAGTTGAGCACGCCGTCGTAAGAATTAGTCTTGAGAAGTTCCGTACGTAAGTAGAGTGTCGTGCTGTCCTGTCTTGACGCGGGTTAGGTTCTGTACTAGCGCGGGTAGGGACGCTCGCGGGTTTTATACCCGCCCGTCTTTTGTGTTTCTCTATCCAGCAGGATCGTAACGTCCCTTCTGTAACCGGTCGTTCCCCCACAATGACGTGACGTGAGCGGCGGACAAAGGACTCATCTGACTTGGAAATGTGACATTTGGGAGAAGGTTTTTTCCCGTGGACGTCCCGCTGAGAAAGGCCGCCGGGGAAAAACAGCTGCCTGCCCCCGAGACGTTTACCGTGAAACTGCCGAGTCCTCAGGGTTTGGTTTAGACCCGACATTTGGTGTCAGCTCTACAAACAAGCGCTTAAAGCTATTCCACGCCTCTAACACTACAGAAGCAACAATTGCAACAATGTAACCAACCTGCCAAAATATTGACACAGTCAACACACGGACAAGGGAAGGGATCGGATGTCTGTAAACTTTGTAACAAGAAAACGTAACAAACCCGTGGGACCCGCTGGAGTGGTGGGCAAATCTCGCGTTTTGTTGCGGCGCGTGGGGAAATGTTGACTCTCCGCATCAGGAGTATACATCTACCAATCAAAAGACTACGAATTACTGTTTATGTAGCTAACTTCAGTCTCTGGGAAACTAGTTTAGGGCTAGGCGTCCTCTTGGCGACAAAAGTCCTGACGCCGTATCGCGATCGACGAAACATCTTGGCGACGAAAAATCTTGAACCCTAGACTCGGGACAAGATTTTTCTATGAAGCCTTTGTATGTAATCTCCAAGTAGATATTGAGATGGATACTCTTGCAACCCGTCAACCAACCAACTAACTGACCTACAAACAGATTTCACATGGGCGTACTGAAGACGCTCCTTTTTTCCTGATTGGGAAAAAAGGCTCTAGCTGTGCGGGCAAAGATCACGGGTTATGATGATGACCTAGAACTAGCTATAGTAATTAACAGTGACTGGGAATTTCATACATAGAAATTTTAGGTGCAGGTTACGTTTCTCCAACGAGCAAATGACGTCCTTGGTTTTCTCGATTATTTCTGAGTAATAGTGCCCGGGTTTGGCGTGAGTGCGATCCCCGGCATGGGACCAGGAGTATCTTTCTGTTTCTACTCTCCTAATTCTTAACTTACATCTGTATGTGATATACAGGAAATGGAAGGTTTGTTTTTGTAATCAAGATTGGCATCATCAAATACCAAATCCCACACATCTACTTGGAGATAATTGACATTTCTGAGCTGTGAGATTTTTCGGTCATGACTGGGTCTGTAGGGAGCAGTGGCCGCGTTCCCAGCCGCGCCGTGACGTCACAATGACGTCAGCAGGGTCGCAAGGGAAGGAGAAGGGACAATGGGAGGCGGACAATAGCAGCCGTCTAGCCTCTAACAGGCGTTCGGGGGGGGGGGGCGGCTGGAACTACATGTAGTAGGAATTGGCCAAATAGAGAGATAGCATGCCAAGGGAGTTGGTCCGCTAGCCTTGAGAGTACAGTTTGCCGCGCCCGAATGTAGTCTCTATCGGACTAACTCCCCTGGCAGGTTATCTCTACTCTCCAAGCAGAGGTTTGGGTTTTGGGTAATTTTTGACGCGTTTTTAGACTTTTTTATCGGGGTTTCTTTTTTGCATTGAAATTTTTGTTTCACCCACACCCACACCGATGAAAAAGTAAATTAAAAAAAACGCCA